GGCATAGTATATTCGATAGACCAAATGTATTGTTAATGTGAAATATTTATTTGAGTTATGCAAAGATGGTGATAAGAAAAGGATTGTAGAATGCAAAAGGAATGAATGTGCTCCTTCTCTTCTGCGAAAATTGCAGAGAGGAATATATTGCTCTTAATGGAAAAAATGAGCACACACATGTGCATTTCACAATTGTTTTTGCCTTACCTGGATCCACACACATCACATTTGATCTCACCCACACATCTACCTAACTTCTAGGATCACTACACATGGCTATTTTAGCCTTACATAATAGAGCCTCACACTTGTCATTCTATAAGACTAAGTGCATACACAATTAACATTAAAGGGCTTCTTATTTATTAATCAGCTCATTACTTACAATTCTACATTCCCCTTTAAGTTTTGAGCTAATTTCACTCCAAGTTTATCCCTAAGCTAGAAGAACCGATCCTTAGCCAATGATTTTGTGAAGATATCTGCTAGTTGCTCATTTGTAGGACAGTAAAGCAAATCAATGATTCCTTCATGTAAAGCATCATTGATGAAGTGATATCTTCGATCAATATGCTTAATTTTCTAATGAAACACAAGGTTCTTTGTGATGGCAATTGCAACAGTATTATCACACTGAAGTGGAGTAGCCTCAGTTTGAAATTCACCGAAGTCCTCTAATACAAATATGAGCCAAATTGTTTGTGCAGTTACCTCTGATGCACTAATATACTCTGCTTCAACAGTAGAGAGCTACATAGTTTTGTTTGATTGAAGCCCAAGAGAAAATCCCACTACCAAAAGAGAAAGCATACCATGTGGTTCTTTTACTGTCATCAACTGAGCCACCCCAGTCACTATCACAGTAACCAATTAGAATTGCATTTCTTCCCTTCACATATTCCAAACCATAGTCAAGTGTTCCTTGATATACCTAAGAACTCTTTTGGCAGTTCCATAGTGTTTGTTGGTAAGGCAGTGCATGAACCTTGCAAGTAAACTAGCAGCATACATCACATCGGGTCTTGTAGCTATGAGATACAATAAGCTTCCCATGATCTTGCTATATTGTTCTTCATTTGTTGGACCACTACCATCATCTTTACTAAGCTTCTCAGTTGTAACCAAAGGTGTAGCAATAGATTTACACTCACTCAAGCCAAATTTGTTCAACAAAGATATAGCATACTTTGTTTGATGAATAAAAATGCTTGTCTGTGTTTGGATGACTCTCATTCCCAGAAAATGATGCAAGAGCCCCAAATCTGTCATTTCATACTTTGTCATCATGTCTCTCTTGAATTCCTCCAACATTGGTTGACTATTACCCGTGTACACAATGTCATCTACATATAGAGACACAATCAGAATTTATGTTTCTCCTCTGGTTTTAGTATATAGAGTGGCCTTACTTTGACTCTTTTCAAATCCACATTGAGCAAAATAAGAGTCAATTTTGTTGATGCACAAAACCGGAGGTCTTGGAACAACGTAAATCCGACCGTGAATCTGTAAAAAAGTAAATAACACAAGATGTATCGTGGTTCACCCCAAGGTTTGGGCTACGTCCACACTGATTGTATTTCTCTGAGAGTATTTGTGAGGGAGAGTGTGTGAGAGCTTTGCTCTAGATAGGAGAGACTTAGGGTTTGTGAGGGTGAGGAGGCCCTTTTATAAAATAAGGGCTTCTCACTTATTACATATTTGCCCCTACCTTTATCACATAATTACAGTTAAGTCTCCTGAGTATTTGTACGAGATTTAAATACGGAGGCCCTAAATATGGTATAAACAGTAGTCCCCCAAGTCTTCAGTCAAGAGAGTCTTTTGGCTGGAGACTTGAAATTCAGTCCATGTGTAGGCCGAAGTAACTAGATGTTGTCTTGAACTGATGCTCGATATGAGGCAGTGCTCAATCTGAAATGATGCTCAACTAGAAGTAGCACATGCCGCGAAGCTGCGAGACTCGTGGCTTATGTTGCCTTGGTTGGCTCGGCTTGTGGCGTTGAAAGTGAGGGAGTCTCTTTTATAGAATAAGGGCTCGCTCCTCAATATATCAATGATGAGCTAGAGTCAATGCTCGCGGAGAGGCGGTTACTCTACAGGCGGCGATGTTCTCTAATGATGGTGAGGGAGTCCCTTTTATAGAATAAGGGTTCGCTCCTTAATACATAAATGATGGGCTAGGAGTGATGCTTGCGGCGAGGCAATTGCTCAGCAGGCGGCAGTGCTCTCTAATGAAGGTGAGGGAGTCCCTTTTATAAAATAAGGGCTCGCTCCTCAATACTTGAATAATGGATGCTCTCTAATGAAAGTGAGGGAGTCCCTTTTATAGAATAAGGGCTTGCTCCTCAATACACAAATAATGGGCTAAGTCCCCTAAGTACTTTTCATGAGGCCTAGTTGAGGCCCAATTTATGGTACATAATGTAGTCCCCCAAGTCTTCGGTCAATAGAGTTTGTTGGCTGGAGACTTCCAATTGAATCCATGTATGGGCCGAAGTGACGGTTGTTCGGAGGTGATATTTGTATACCCTGCACTGAAGCTTTGTAAGTGAAGCTTTGCAAGTGAAGCTTTGAAGCTGGAGCTATGTAAATGAAGCTTTTGAACCTAGAGCTTTTGTAAATGAAGCTTTTGAAGCTAGAGCTCTGTAAATGAAGTTTTTAAAGCTGATTGACATGAGTGATGTTCATGAATGTTTATGTTGATTGACATGAGTGATGCTCATGAATGTTAACATGAGTGATGCTCATGAATGTTGACATGAATGATGGTCATGAATGTTTATGTATGATTGTCATGAGTGATGCTCATGAATGTTTATGTATGAATGACATGAGTGATGCTCATGTATAATTTCGAGTACTGGGCATACTTTTGATCACCTGGTTGGTGGCATGAATGGCTAGTTGCCAAACGATATTAGAGTACGGGTTGTACATTTCATCACCTGGTTGGTGGCATGAATGGCCAGTTGCCAAATGATATTAGAGTACATGTTGTACATTTCATCACCTAGTTGGTGGTAATAGCTACAGGTTGCTGAATAATTTTGGAGTACTGGGCATACTTTTGATCACCTGGTTGGTGGTAATAGCGGCGGGGTGCCGAATAATTTTTTGTAGTACTAGGCATACGTTTGATCGCCTGGTTGGTGCTATTTTGGGCTTATGGGCCTTCGCTCTCCACACAACATTCCAGCCCACTTATTTTGGGCTTTTGCCAATTTTTTATTTTTTTACCCTCTGATGGGGTTTATACAGAAAGATACGGAAAATAAATTACATCAGTAAAAAATAAATCCGACCCTCTGCTCAATGGGCCACGGCCATAATTTTCTTTTCTCTTTTGCAAATGGCAGACAAGGAAATCACGTGGAATGTCTCTTTTCCCCCATCTGCTTTTGCCTATAAAATTAGTGGAGTATTCAGATTGCAGATGGTTCTTACTTTCTCAGAAATCAGAAAATGATTTCACATGCAAACCGCGGGCACTTTCTCCTTTTGCTTTCTCAAAAATCAAAAAATGATGGCTTTTTCCTTTTTCTTTTGTTTTTCTTTCTTTTTATCTTCTTCCTTTTGGCATATGGCAGACAAGGCAATCATAATAAAATTGATAATGGAAACTTATCTTCTTCCCGGTAACGTCGGTGGGCCTTGTTTCGAAAACGAGACTGCTGAAACTTTCACCGGGGGCATCTCTGCTGAGTTGACTCAATTGAAATATGAGCTGGCTCATGAGGGCTTAGACAAAAGCTTCTTCTCTGAGAAAACTCCATTCTCGCGGCTTGAAGAAAACTTGATCCGTGATTAGCGACGCCATGAGGTGGCCAAGCGGGACCACCGTAATCTGAACGGAGATCGAGGTGAGCGAGAGGGGCTCGCGGCGGTACCAGAAGGACTGGTTGAGGAATGAGAGTAGAACGCATGCGAGGGCTCCAAGCATCCAGGTTCGAAAAGTGACGATTGGGAGGGAGGGATCGTCGATGATCGGAACGGTGAGGGCGACTTGCTCGGTTGGAGAGTTCTCGTCCGCAGTCGGCGGAGATGAAGGGAGGCATCGTATTTAGTCTTCGGAAGGAGAGAAACTACGATTTCATGGTCGTTGATGCCGTCATATGCTCCTCCGAGCGCTGAAGGAGAATATGAAACGTGGGCGTCCTCCAATCTCCTTGGCATTGCTGCAGAATCACTGCCTGCAGCACATCAGTGCATACTTCTAGATCCACCCATAAGGGTTTCCACACACTCGGCAAGTGCGGGAACCGGGGCCGTAGTTCTTGTGGTGAGAGTTCCATACATTCGGGTGTCCTATCTTTGAAGCTTGCTAAGGTTTTCTACGTCGCTCTGCAGCTGCAGGATATCGAACTTCCCATTCAATTGTTGTTAGACCCAAATCGTGCCTTATAAGCATATGGAGCACCAGCAGCGACAAACATAGCAGCAACAGAAATAGCGGCTTTGGCTGAGAAATACCCAGCAGAGTGTAACACTTGTACTGTACCAGGACTTGGGTTTTTCCTCAACAGATCTAAGATTATTGCTATTCCCACCATTGTTATACCCTCTGTCCTCTGAAGCAAAATTCAATCCGATCCCACAAACACCCTCAAACCAAAACTATCGAAGGTTGGTGGCATGAAGGAGAGTACGGGTTGTACATTTCATCACCTGGTTGGTGGCATGCATGGCTAGTTGCCAAATGATATTAGAGTACGTGTTGTACATTTCATCACCTGGTTGGTGGTAATAGCGGCGGGGTGTCAAATAATTTTTTGTAGTACTGGGCGTACGTTTGATCGCCTGGTTAGTGCTATTTTGGGCTTATGGGCCTTCGCTCTCCACACAACATTCCAGCCTATTTATTTTGGGCTTTTGCCGTTTTTTTTTTTTTTTTTTTTTTTTACCCTCTGATGAGGTTTATACAAATATCTCCGAAAGATACGGAAAATAAATTACATCAGGAAAAAATAAATCTGACCTTCTGCTCAATGGGTCACGCCCATAATTTTCTTTTCTCTTTTGCAAATGGCAGACAAGGAAATCACATGGAGTGTCTCTTTTCCCCTTCTGCTTTTGCCTATAAAATTAGTGGAGTATTCAGATTGCAGATGATTTTTACTTTCTTAGAAATCAGAAAATGATTTCACATGCAAACCGAGGGCACTTTCTCCTTTTGCTTTCTCAAAAATTAGAAAATGATGGCTTTTTCCTTTTGCTTTTGTTTTTCTTTCTATTTATCTTCTTCCTTTTGGCATATGGCAGACAAGGCAATCATCATAAAATTGATCATGGAAACTTATCTTCTTCCCGGTAATGTCGGTGGGCCTTGTTCTGAAGACGAGACTGCTGAAACTTTCACCGGGGGCATCTCTGCTGAGTTGACTCAATTGAAATATGAGTTGGCTCATGAGGGCTTAGACAAAAGCTTATTCTCTGAGAAAACTCCATTCTCGCTGCTTGAAGAAAACTTGATCCGTGATCAGCGATGCCATGAGGTGCCCGAGTAGGACCACCGTAATCTGAACGGAGATTGAGGTGAGTGAGAGGGGCTCGTGGCAGTACTAGAAGGACTGGTTGAGGAAGGAGAGTAGAGCACACGCGAGGGCTCCGAGTGTCCAGGCCCAGAAAGTGACGGTTGGGAGGGAGGGATCGTCGGTGACCGGAACGGTGAGGGCGACTTGCTCGGTCGAAGAGTTCTCGTCTGCAATCGGCGGAGATAAAGTGAAGGCATCGTATTGAGTCTTCAGAAGGAGAGAAACTGTGATTTCATGGCTGTTGCTGCCGGCCATCTGCTCCTCCGAGCGCTGAAGGAGAATATGAAACGTAGGCGTCCTCTGAGCACTTGATCAAGCCAATCTCCTTGGCATTGCTGCAGAAGCACTGCCTGCAGCACATCAGCGCATACTTTCGGATCCACCCATGAGGGTTTCCACACACTCGGCAAATGCGGGAACCAGGGCCAAAGTTCTTGTGGTGAGAGTTCCATACATTCGAGTGTCCCATCTTTGAAGCTTGCTAAGGTTTTCTGCATCGCTCTGCAGCTGTAGGATATTGAACTTCCCATTCAATTGTTGTTATACCCAAATCGTGCCTTATAAGCATATGGAGCACCGGCGGCGACAGACACAGCAGCAGCAGAAGTGGCAACTTTGGCTGAGAAATACCCAGCAGAGTGTAACGCTTGAACTGTACTAGGACTTGGGTTTTTCCTCAACAAATCTAGGATTATTGCTATTCCAGCCATTATTATACCCTCTATCCTCTGAAGCAAAAATCAATCTGATCCCACAAACACCCTCAAACCAAAACTATCGAAATAGATCCAAACACGGGTTTTTACACCTTCTGGCTCTAATTTTCCCTGATAATTTACTGGGTTATATAACGCACGAGACTAAGAAACCCAAAAGATGGGATTTTTATATAGCAGAGAAGGTGATAGAGAGAAAAGGGACAGAGAAGGACAGAGTGTTTTGTTTGGAGTAGAGAGATCGACACCACCTTGAACAGGTGGCCCAGTTCCTAACCTTCAGTTTGCCAAGAAGGAGAAAGTAGGTGTGGGGTGTTGAACACGATGCAGCTGAATTCTCGGACTGCTATCGGGATGTCGGCCCCAACAGCCAGAGGCATGAAACCATGGATCCATGCCTCGTAATTACCATCCATTGTCAAAAACATCTTCTCAATCTCTTCCTGCTCAAATCCTCCATGGTATTCTCGATCATTTAGAAACCTCGGGGAAGCGCCGATGAGCACGAGCTTGGAGAAAGGTTCAGGGCGGTGGACGGAGGTGAGGGTACCGATCATGGCGGAGACGTTGACACGTGCCAAATGTTGATGGTGTCAAACGGACAAGAGCAGCTGAGAGATCTCGATCTTCAATGGCAAGATGGACAAGAGCAGCGTCCATGATGTTGTGCTTGTCGGAGGATCCACCCGTATTCCCAATCTGGTCTTGATGCATGCTGAGAGATCTTGATCTTCAGAAAAGGAAAAAGAATGAGGACTTAAATAAAAAAGAAAACCGAGAATCTTTGGGGCTCTTTTAGGGGATGACATGATAGCTTTGTGTTTATGGGGGTTTTCTAGGGAAGCCCAAGGAGGTTCTGGGTTTTGTGGATTTTGCAGTGTTGATTTTGTAGATTTTGCAGATTCACGGCGAAGGTGAAAAAATGAAAGAGAACTGACATAACTTTTCGTATCAATTCCCGCAGACGGCGCCAAATGTTAATGCACAAAATCGAAGGTCTTGGAACAATGTAAATCCGACCGTGAATCTGCAAGAAGGTAAATAACACAAGATGTATCGTGGTCCACCCCAAGGTTTGGGCTACGTCCACACTGATTGTATTTCTCTGAGAGTATTTGTGAGGGAGAGAGTGTGAGAGCTTTGCTCTAAATATGAGAGACTTAGGGTTTGTGAGAGTGAGGAGGCCCTTTTATAGAATAAGGGCTCCTCACTTATTACATATTTGCCCCTTCCTTTATCACATAATTACATTTAAGTCTCTTGAGTATTTGTACGAGATCTAAATACGGAGGCCCTAAATATGGTATAAACAAATTTCACTATACCAGGCCCTTGGTGCTTGTTTTTAGCCATACAAAGCTTTATGAAGCTTGTACACTTTGTCTTCACTCCACTTGATCACAAAACCATCTGGCTGTTCTACATAAATCTCCTATTCGAGTACTCCATTCAGAAAAGCAGACTTGACATCAAGTTGGTATAGTTTCCAATTCTTCTGTGCTGCCAATGTAACTAGCGTTCAAATTGTATCGAGTCTAGCCACAGGTGCAAAAGTCTTATTATAGTCATCACCTGGTTTCTGAGCATATCCCTTGGCTACCAGCCTTGCTTTATTCTTCTGCACTGATCCATCAAGGTTAAGCTTAGTCTTGAACACCCATTTAACCCCAATTATAGGTTTATCAGTTGGTCTGTCCACTAGCTCCCATGTTGCATTCTTTTTAATCATTTACAGTTCATCTTTCATAGCCATCATCCATGATTCATCCTTAGCTGCCTCATCAAACTTTTCAGGTTCCATAATGCAGAGATTGCATTGAGCTAGAACATCATCCAATTCCTCCACCTCAATGAAGTGTGATCAAAGGCTTGAGATTTTCTCATACTGGTACTTATATCACTTGCTGATTCATGAGAAGATAACAAGCTTGGTGATTGAGTATGGTCCTGACCTTCAGGAGTTGCTACAAGTGATGTACTCTTAGGCATCTCAGATAGCTCATCATGATTAAGCACAATTACATAATTCTCAGAGACATTCTTCCACTCCCAAGCTGCATTTTCATCAAACACAACATCTCTCGAGAGTATAAGTTTCTTAGTAAGAGGATCATACACTCTGTACCCCTTTTCACAAGTGGCATAACCCACAAATATGCCCTTGACACTCTTTGCATCTAGTTTTTCTCTCAACTCACTTGATATGTGTACATAGCACAAACAACCAAAGATTTTGAGATGTGCAATCCCTGGTTTTCGACCATTGAATGCTTCAAAAGGAGTTATATCTCCGAGAGCTCTTATAGGACACCTATTCATTATGTAGACAGCTGTGTGTACAGATTCTGCCCACAAATTGTAAGGTAACCCTTTATCATGAAGCATAGTTTTTTCCATTTCAACTACCATTATGTTGTTTCTCTCTACAACTTCATTCTATTGTGGAGTATAGGCCATAGAGAGTTGTCTTTGAATACCCTCATCTTCACACAACTTGTTAAACTCATAAGATGTGAATTCACCCCCTCTGTCACATCTTAGGCACTTCACTTTGAAACCACTCTATAACTCTACCATGGATTTGAATTTTCTAAACCAATTCAATGCATCTGACTTGTATCTGAGAAAATAAAACCACATCATTCCTGTGCAGTCATCTACAATAAGCATGAAATATTTATTACCAGCTATGGACTCAGTTTGCATAGGTCCACATAAATCCACATGAATCAACTCTAGTGGATTGCTTGCTCTCCATGCCTGATTCTTTGGGAACCACTCTCTATGTTGCTTTCCAAGCTGACAACCTTCACACATCAACTTCTTCTAAGTATGGAAATCCATGCACCATTTCCTTCTCTTTGAGTTGTTTTAACCCCCTTAGATGCAGATGGCCTAGCCTTTTGTGCCAGGTCCAAGTAGAGTGAGACAAACTTGTTTTCAAAGCTCTATGATCATCAGGTAATAGTGCTAAAGGAGAGCATCTTTTCCTCTTCATTTCTACTTTAATTACAAGACATTCTAGTGAAGAACTATAAAAAATGTTGCACAGTTTACCTCCAAACAGCAAATAATACCCATGTTCATCCATCTGTCCCACACTCAGTAAGTTCTCCTTCAATCCAGGTAGATACATTACCTCCTTTATGTATTTTCTGCCCTTACAAGTATCATTTACTAGAGTCCCCATTCCAGCTACATTCATAAGCTCACCAATTGGCATTTGTACTTTGCCTACCACATTTGTTCAACCAATAACTTCTCATTTCCAATCATGTGCTTGCTACAACCACTGTCAATATACCATTCACCATTGACAACTGATCCAGAAATAGTGCTATTTGCATAGAACAAGTTCCCTGTCACCTCTATTTGATTAGCACTGTTAGTCTTTTGCACTGATTTGCCTGCAATACACTCTCGAGCCCAATGTCCAAACCTTTCCATAGTTATAGCATTTAGGCATCCCCTTATATCTACACTCACCAAAGTGAAACTTAGAGCATACCCTGCACTGTGGTTTTGTAACTGTCGAACCCATTAACTATGCATTTTGTACAGGACTAGCAGGAAATTTCTGCTAAAACTTGGGTTTTGAATCCCATTTCTTGCCCTTAGAATTCCAATTCTTCTGGAACTGAGATGGACCAGATTGAGCTCTGCTTCTATTTTGACCCTTTAGACTCATTGAGAGAGATGTAAATGCCTTCCCAGTAGTATCAACAGTATGCAGATCAAACCGTTGTTCTTGGCTCTTTAAGATTGCAATTACCTCTTGCAATTCTACAGTCTCCCAGCATTTTGTATTTTCTATAACCAAACAGATAGGATCATATGGTTTACTTAAATTAATCAGAACCTTTTGCACAAGTCTCTCATTAGAAAGAGATTCACCAAATGTTTTCATCTGATTAATTAAATCATTCAACCTTGTAAGATAACCAGATAGATTCATCATCTCGCATCCTAGCATATTCAAATTCTCGTCTAAGATTTTGCAGTTTTACCGATCTAACCTGATCACCACTATGGTATTCTCCATACAACAGATCCCATGCCATCTTAGCTGAATTAGCATTGGCAATCCGAGGGAAGATCTGGTCAGAGACTACATTTTGTATGATTCCTAGAGCCTTCGCATCCCTCATGAACATTGTAGTCATTTCTTCATCGACTGCATCTTCCGATAACCCTTCAGCTTCTTTTTTCTTCTTCGAGTCGGGGGTTGTAATCCCCTTTTCTACCAAATTCGATAACCCAAGAGATTTGAAAACCGTTACCATCTTAATTCTCCAGAACTCGTAGTTCTCATCAATGAAGATTGGAGTTCTCACCTCCAAGCTTCCAGATCTAGACATCTTTGGCCTGAATGTTGATTTCTCTTCTCAGATAATTTTTGAATTTCGGCGAACTTCACCGAGCTTCAAGTTAACTCAGTGGCTTCACAGATTCACACCCAGATTCAATTGATAGAACCTGGCTCTGAGGCCATGTTAATGTGAAATATTTATTTGAGTTATGCAAAGATGGTGATAAGAAAAGGATTGTAGAATGCAAAAGGAATGAATGTTCTCCTTCTCTTCTGCGATAATTGTAGAGAGGAATATATTTCTGTTAATGGAAAAATGAGCACACACATGTGCATTTCACAATCGTTTTTGCCTTAGCTGGATCCACACACATCACATTTGATCTCAGCCACACATCTAGCTAATTTGTAGGATCACTACACATGGCTATTTTAGCCTTACATAATGGAGCCTCACACTTGTCATTCTATAGGACTAAGTGCATACGCAATTAACATTAAAGCGCTTCTTATTTACTAATCAGCTCATTACTTACAATTCTACATGTATAACATCAATAATTACCTTGAAGGGCAAATGATTTCATTACATGGGCTCATCTGTGCAACAGGCTTCATGCAATTGGAAACGAAAATGAAATCCTGCAAGAACTTATTTTTGGCCTTTGGAGAAAATGGAAATGCCGGAACGAGGTGTTTTTCAAAGGAACACTTAAATCACTGGTAGAAGCAATGGAAATTTGGAAGGTAAGGGTGATAGAATACAAGGAAGCACAATGGGCGAGCACAACAACCACAGATGCAGTGGATGGAACCAATGAACTGGAATTTGCAGGAAGGAAGGTGAGATGAAAAAGACCAGAGTTTGGGACACTTAAGGTGAATTTTGATGCTGCTTGGAATCCCAAACACATAAAGGTGGAGTGGGATGGGTTATAAGGGACTTTGCCGGCCTGCTGCACTCTGCAGGAGGCTCGGGAGGCCTGTACTTTCATTCTGATGCAATGGCTGAAGCTACTGCATTGAGGGTGTGCAAAGGAAGGCATCCAAGAGATTGAAACTGATGCAAAGACAATCGTGTAGACAATCAATAAGGAAACGGGAGTTGATGCATCTTTGGAGGGTATCATTGACGACATCTGGAATCTTGCTGAAACCTTCCAAACCGCAACGTTCACGTATGCCCATGTTGCTCATGTTGTTGCATCTTATGTCTCTAAGTATGGCGATGTCCATTCATGGGTTTGTATTGGTCCAATTTTTATTTCAATATCTTGGTAGAAGATGTAAACATTTCACTAAGAATCTAATAAAAAATTTGTGACAAAAAAAAATGTAAATAGAAGATATACGTGTTAAGAGTGAATTGGTAACAATACATCACTAATACAATTACTCAAAAAGACAGTAAATCTCTCAGTTTAATTTCATGCACTGGCACTACCATCAATTCAAGGCATATTTTAATTAAAGTTTGAGAAGTCACTAATATTCCCTCTGTATATACTGCCAAAATTTCGAACTTCAGAAGAATTAGGTAATTAAAAGTCTCATAATATCATCATCAGAAGTAAACATAGAAGTCTCAAATCAAAAGCATATATAGTAGTGAGTAGCATATCCATTCTCAACCAGCACCGATGGAGAATGAATCTTAACTGTCCTTAAAAGGATCCCTAATTGCAATCCAAAGCATAGACTTATACATATAATCGAAAGAGCATCAAGGTCCATTTCCAAGTAGAAGATGAACACAAAGAGAGAGAGAGAGAGAGATAGATGTGATGAGATGAGGTTGACCTATGTCCTAACCATGGTTGGTGCGTTAGTGGAGAAGAACCCAAGGGAACCAAAATATCTTCCAAGGATTACATGCAGCTGCTTTTGAACTCCACATCCATTAATGGAGTGCTCAAAAGGATGATGAGATTAATGTACTAGCAAAAGCTAAAAGCTAATGCTAAAAACTATCCCTCCTAAAATTAGTGAAATGGGGCTAAAACTCCCATAGTTTAGCCACACTTGATGAATTTACATGAAACGAACAAGAGTTTGTGATTTTCTTCCCTTTACCCTAAGGGAAAGGATCGATCGTTGGTTGGTTGGTTAGACACATTATGTGAAAGGTGACAAAAACTTGGTAAAGCTTTATAGAGACATGACTGTTTTTAGCTAGTTTCAAAATCCTAAGACTAGATGTTAACAGCCAAAACAATTGGGGCATTCCATGCCCATGTTTTTTTCCCCTAAAACTGCGCGCCTTTGTTTGTTTGAGGTGATTGATTAGCTGAAGATAGAGGGATAAAACATTTTTTGATTGAAACTTTTCAAAAGTGAAGGGCTTGCTATTTGTGTTGAATTTACAATATTTGCAAACCATTTTATGCATTTCTTTAGCCTTCCTGGGCCAAAAGTTACATTTTTCTTCTGTTGCCTCAGCCCCTCCAGGGCTAAGAATTTTTGAGGGAAAAAAAAAAATACTATTTTCCAACTTGGCTATACCCAATAGCCTGAGTTGGTATTTAAGATGACGCTTTCAAAAAAAACTCTTCAAGGGGAAAATGAAATGCATGAGTATGCATGAGATGCACGTACCCCAGCCAATTGTGGAGATGGAATGATTTCATGTAGCCCCTTTGGGAGGCTTTGTATTTGTGCAAATTAATTAGTCCAAATGCCAATTGCTTGGGCTAATTAATTGTGTGTTAGACGGCGAGAGAGAGAGGAAGAGATGGAGAAGTGAACCATGGTTAGGCCAGAGGTTGCTGAAAACTCAGAAGCATATGCAGCTGATGAGGGTGGAATCGAGTTTGAATAATTGAAGCCATGCATGCACGCACTTTGGGATGAACTAGCGATGAGGGATTGGTGCAGGAAGGGCCACGGTTACGCCTGTGGCACAGCAAAACACACTGTCAAGGATATTAGCGTCTCCCTCCATCTCAACCAAGATTAACTAGTTTAAAAGTTAAGAAATTGCTCTCATCTCAATCTAACAAAAATCAAATTCAAGTAATTACCTGGTGATTGCAAGGCGGGTGAGGGCGCAAGAGAAATGGGAGGACCATAGTGCTGGTAGCCTCCAACTCCACTTGAATTCATGGTCGAATAATGAAAAAGCTGCTGCTGCTGGTTGTTGTGGGGGTATTGGACACCAGTTGCATAACTCGGCACACCTGAGCTACCATATGCAGCTGCTGCGGCTCCTCCATTCCCTTCTGATCCATATGAAAGATAAGGGTAAAAAGCCGCCGCGGCTGCTGCTCCGGCCACCATCCCAGTTGCAGGGCTTGTCCCGTACATAGGATACTGGCCTGCTGCCCCTCCGTACAAACCATAGTAGTTCTGAAAATATATACCACATTGAACAAAAATAAAATCATCACTATCTTCTAGGTGTTAGTTAATTAATTGAAAATTACCTTAATTAAATTCAAGTGCAATTACTTGGTATTAGTATCTAGAAAGGAAAAAAAAAAAATTTATTTTTAATATCAGTAAACACTCAGCAAGCCGTGAAACTAATGCTGTGGAGTCTGTACATATGGGTTCCCAGTTACTTTCATATATGGTCTTGTGTTTCCTGTTTTTTTCCTTTCTTGTTCTGTTGTGTGTGCTGTTTGGTTTAGATCATAGTGAAAGCCCAACTACCAAGTTGGAACACGGGTGTATATTAATCAAGAAAAAAAAAGTTTGGTTGATGGGAATTAGTTGAAGAAGTTAAATTGTTTTCAACAACTTGCCAACTTGGTATCGCATACATGGAACTGCCAAGACATGCAATGCATATGTGTCGGTTGGTCCCCTTTCCTTTTACTCCTTACGTAATATGGACGCTGTTGGAAGAGTAAAGTGCGGGCCTATAGAATAGATTAATGTTTGATTAAAGAACGAGAATACGAGAAAGCCAAGTGGGTCTAATGTTTTAGAGGAATTATTTGAGCTCAGAAATGAAAATGCAAATTAATGAGTAGTGCTACACTTACCATCCATTTATACGATTATTTGTATTTTCTCTCTAATAGAGGTAGGGTCCGCATGTGAGAAGTAAGCGGTAAAAGAAGCAATTTTATAGGTTAATTAAGGTAATAATATAATATAATAGAAAAAAAGGAGAAGATTGTACAAACCGTAGGGTAAGTGTAGTCTGGCGAGTATGAAGAGTACCTGATCGAAACGGAAAAAGTTACAAGTCAGTCAGCATCTACAAAACAAGACAATATCGATTGTACGTATTCAATCGATGTGTATATTACTTGTATATGCAACAAATTCATGCATGTTAAAAAAAATACATATGCATGTTAATTAAGGTTGCGAATGCAATGCAGACATGCGAAATTGATGATATAATCTGCATGTAATATGTGTGTGTGTGTGTGTGTGTGTGTGTATGCATGCATGCATGAGGATCAAATGTAAAAGCACGAGCTTGCGCGGTGCATATATATTACATGTACTCTGTGTGTGTTTTGGGGTGGGGCAATGACAACCATGCCAAAAGGAATGAATATTGATCACACTCATTTGTGTGTGTGTGGTGGAGAGAGATATGAGCGTGCTTTTGAATCTTGATACGTAGTAGGGCTACTTTAATGAGGATGATGAGGTTGGGTGGTGGAAGCGCATGAGTTGGTAAAGCACGTGCAGCTTTCCATACACACCCACATATTCATACAGCTAGCAAAGATGGATGAGGGTACAATATATAGCATAGCATATAAGGCATCTTCATCATCAATATATACAATATATATAGTTATCTAAGAAACAAAATTTGGTGCTCCTAGTATTTTAACTATTAAATCTTTTTTTTTTTATATTTTTAAACAAAAATTTAACGTTTAAACCAGGTAGTTCGGAATATCAAAAATAAGTTTCAGTTAGCCATAAATAAAGGCTGTAAAGTAACCCTAGTTATATTATTTGATGATGGAGATGGTCAAATGGTCAATAAATGGGTACAATATATGCATACCCATAAAGATTGTAAGGTATCCCTTGTTGGATGGCATAATGAGGGAAGCTTGCTGCAGAGGGAAAAGCTGATCCCACTCCACCTCCAAACCCTGTTCGGAATGACCCCATTACCCTCCCAAAGCTCCTGCCTCCTCCTCCTCCTCCACCTGCCCATCATACCCAGGCCAGTTAATCTCTTTATCATTAAAATCATTATATTTCCAACAATAAACTTTGATAATACATCACTGTTCAAATTAAAGACATCTCTTTACGTGCTGCATAAATAAGTAATAACATCAGAGATTAACATTATTTCTCTAAAATATATAATACACGAAATTGCATTAACATTAATCTAATGATAAAATAATCAGAAGAAGGGGAAGAGTAATATATTGCATGCCACTAATTAACTCAAGTTTATTATTTCTACCATAATCAGTTTCTAACTTTTTAAATCTGCTTGAACGAAGTTCAAATTAAGAAGAGGATGGAAATATGGTTCTTTAGAATGGTACGTAGCTAGGTAATTTTGAGCTAGAATAACACCAATTTTTTTCTATATAGATATATATATCCAACTATTTTTGCAAAAAGCACATGAGATGTTGGACTTGTTCGATAAAATTGATTGAACTTAAATTAAAAAAAAAAATTGCAGAAATAAACTTAATTCTTAGTTGAGGAATATCCAAAGTTGCACTATTGCATATGTTTCACTGTGAAAAGAATTTTCCTCAAATAAAATTATTTTCGGACCACAGTCAAAATCTAATATATTCAATAGCCTCTTCTTGGAAAGCACCAATGATATTAGTGAGAAATATCCAAAACTTTTAAGGCTGTTCGCTAGCTGCCTCAACAAGTTAATTAACAAGAACTGATGGTAATAGAAATAATATATAAATTAAAGTACCTTGTATTAAAATATATGTATATGTACGTTCACGTGAAAACGCGAGATTAGTTCATGATGAAGCTTTTGCAAGCTAAGATCCATGAAGAAATAGAATATTACCATGCTTTGGAGTTGAAGGCTTGGATCTCTGAACACCGAGAGAAGCAAGATTGCAGTTGGCCCTCCTCCCATCAATCACGGGAGCAGCATCCACACAAGCTCTCATCGCAGCTTCGGCTTCCCGAAAAGTTACCTACATATACACATATAATCAAAATAGTAATTAAATACCGTATTTAGATCTTTCATTTATTTCAAGATCTATCTAAGTAGCCAACTAAAAACCCTATATACAATATATTGCCTGAAATGAAAGAGAAAGTGCATACAAATCCGTAGCCTTTAGATCTTCCAGTGGCCTTGTCAGTGATAACAACGGCCTCCAAGATGTCTCCAAACTGTTCAAAGTATTTCTTCATGGTTTCCTTCTGGGTTTCCCATGCCAACCCTCCAACAAACACCTTGGTGTAAGTTGTGTCGCCAAACTGCCCTGCCAGATTAGCTGGAGTCATCTTCAAATCTTGATTGATCGTGGCGATATGATTATATGATCAGCTCTCGATCGATCTCTTAGAAATCCTGTGCGGTGGTGTTGATGTTACTAATTACGAATTGAGTCCTATATATATATATATATATATATATCTAGCTACTAATAATTGGTATGCACTACACTAACAATAGATCTAGCTCTAGCCTAGCTGCTGCTGGTGCTGTTAGTGGTGGCGGCGGCGGTACAAGAAGAAGAAGAGGATCTTGCTTGAGATTCTGAATGGTGATTTTTTTTTGGGTGGGGGGGGGGTGTTTGGTGGTGAGGGTGTTGATAGCACACAGACAGACAATTAGGTCAGAGATCAACAAAAACAGAAGAGAAGAGAAAACTAGAGAGAGAGAGAGAGAGAGAGAGAGAAGGAGGGAGGAAGCAAAAGTTAGAAAAAAGTGGAAAGCCCCTCTCGTAATACGGACATGAATTATATACAAAGCCAGCCCCCACCTCTTTACATTATTGTGCCAAATTCACTCATGCTCAACCTTTGGCGCGTCTTTATCACACTCCTCTCAAACATGACTTCCAATTAAGTTTTTATAATAATTATTTTCTGGTCTGAGACTCCCAAACATGAATAATGGTGATCCCTTATAGGTGCATGGTTCCACGCGTAATCATAAGAGAGTGGGAATCGCTTCTGTTTGCATTATTATGTCTTTCATTCATTGTTGTCGTTTGATTATTTTAAGGGGGAGATGTTGAGTGACTCATTAGCCCCTGTCTTTGCACCAAAATTACGAAACTTACCAACAACAAGTGCGTTCGTTTCTTCAGCATTTTAGTGGCAAGTGAGACACACTGATCGGTGGCAGAAACGGAACGGAACGGAGAAAGTAAGTTTTTATAGGGAATGATCGTCAATCAGAAAAACAGCAATCACGGGAAGTCAAGGGTCAGCCGTCCAATTGGCAACCTCCGCTGTTTACAGTCCGAAGATGATTGGATTCCTTCCTCATTATCTACCAAATCAGGGAATTCGTGTCATTGAAATTTGATCAAACGGTTGAAGTTTTTATAACTTTTAAAATAGCCCCTGTTTATAGCTATTGGATCAAATTTCAATAATTCGGATTCCCTGATTTGATGGATTAGGAGGAAAGGATCCAAAGAGTATCCATTTCCTTCTAGATCCACTTTGTGAGGATCCTAGGGATCCTCATATCCTAGGGATCCTCATATCCTAGCCGTTCATCGTACATCGTGCGATCAGTTTTCGTCAGATACTATTTGTGTTTAATTTTAAATAAAAAAATCAAATGATTTCTGATCTCACAGTACATGATGAATGACTAAGATGTAAGGATTCCTAGAATCCCCACAAAGTATATCCATATGGGATCCAATTCCTTTACAGTCCACAATCTACTAGGGTGTCATTTTGTGCATCTCTTTTAATCTCCAACAATCATTTAAAAAGAAAGAGAGACTAAGGGCTTGTTTAGTACTCAACTTGAATTCAACTTTTTAAACTCAAAAATAATTTTCAAATTTTAGGCCTTAAATACTTGTTTGGTATAACTATTTTAAAAAACTAAATTCAATACTAACTCAAAAATATAGTCTATTCTTTAAAAACATAAAAAAGTGAGTTTTTAGAATTTTTAAATTAAACTCACTTGTTTCTTTTCTTTACCTCCTCCCCTCTCACTCCAAATTTATCTCTCTTTTCTTCTTTCTCTCTCCTCTTTTTTTTTAACCTTTTTCTTCTCTCCTCTAATCCGCTTTCTTCATTCTCTCGGTTTTTTCTCTCACTCCTCTTCCTCTCTATCTAGTCCGAATCTCTCTCTTCTTCTTTCTCTTTTCTTCAATCATCTCTTAATTTCTTTCCTCCTCTTTTCTCTTTCTCCCTCTTATGCAACCACCTCTTTTTATATCTCTTTGTCTAGTTTAAATCATAAGATTTAAAAATTTTAAATCGCAAACCAATCAAGTTTTTTTGGTCTTAAAAAAAATTGTTTTCAAGAAATGTTCTTAAGAAATATTTTGAGAAATGATAAAAAATTTCAAATAAGATATCAAACAAACCCTAAATTTTTTAATTTAAATTTACAAATTAAATAATATGATTGTAGATGATTGAATTATGTGTCACGCATAGTGACATTACCATGCTACTTTATCTGGGTTCACCAGTTCACCTAGGCGGCTAGGTCTTAAAGAAGTATTTTTTGAGGTTAACTATACTTTTCATTTGGCAACAACTTTGAAAAGAGTTGGTGAGATTCTAATTTTTCGATGTTTTAAAATTGTATTCATTTATGTCTCACATAAGTACAAACGACTAGTTTACCCAAAAAAAAAAAGGAAAACTAGTGAAAAGGATTTGAAAACTTTGAGTTTTAACGAAAATGACAAAATAATGGATAAAGTGAATAGTATCAGGATTGACTTTTTAGTGTAAAAATGTGGTTTTTCATTACAGTGAACAGTATCAGGAGCTTTTTGTTAAAGTTTGTTGATGCACAAAATCAGTGAGGACTTTGGTACAACAGAAAGTGTTAAGTTTGTGACCTTCGCTAGATTGCTCCGGTCACTAGTGTGGATAAGTATGTAAATGGATAGAGACAGGGAAGCAAACACAAGATGTACGTGGTTCACCCAGATTGGCTATGTACACGGAGTAGAGGAGTTCTCATTCATTGTGAAGGGTTTACACAAGTACATAGGTTCAAGCTCTCCTTTTGTGAGTACTAGTGAATGATTTAGTACAAATGACATTAGGAAATATTGTGAGAGAATGATCTCTATTTATAGAAGAGAGTTTCTAGTTTCATTATGACATTGACACGTGTCGTGTTATGATTGGCTTCTGATGTTGACACGTGTCGGGCTATGATTGGCTTCTGATTTCAACATGTGTCGCGCTGTGATTGGCCTCATGGTTAGAGGGAAATTCTGGGTCCTTGACGGTATAACGTTGATCGGTGCTCAGTAGTTTCGGGATTGGTCAAGTATGGTACAAACAGTGCTCCCCTAAGTTCCCGAGTGAGGGAAGCTCCTCGGTTGGGGACTTGCAAGATCCAAGCCATTGAGTAATCACAAAACTTCTAAGTACCGAAGTGTGGTATCATTTTCACTTGCCTTATCTGTCTCATACGTAGATGTGGCATCTTCTCTGGAAGTATTTTTCCTCCATCCAAGGGTGGTATCTTTAACCGATGAAGATGCACAAGGTAATGTATCAATTTCACTTGAAGCTTTCTTGTAGTTTCGGGTTTGGTCAAGTGCGATACAAAACCCTATAGTAGGAGTCCCCCAAGTCGCCAAGCTAGGAGATTTACCGAAAGAGGTAACAGACAAGGTAAGCAATCAGACTTCCAAGCAAGCAACCTGGATCGAAGGTTTGACTTCGGCTTCCGATTGATTGTTCTCCTTCTCCTTGTGTTGTAAATAGCACCAAGGATAAGGAGAAGCAAATGGAGAAGAGATGATATGAGATACTTTTGCTTTTGAAAAAGTAACTTTCCACAGGATTATTCTTAAACTGGGCTGGAGGGTTTTCTGGTTTCCTCCAGAGTATAAGGCCAACTCAAGAATTTGAGGGTCAAAACAAGTCAATCAAATCTAGAGTACGTTCGACCCTGATGATATTGGATACTTTTGCTGTTGACAAAGTAGTGGATGTATCGGCACGTGTTCTGTTACGCTTGTCTCCACATGCTTCCTTGTATCCTTCTCACTTGCCCTATCTGTTCCTCAGGCAGATGTGGTATCTTCTCTGGAAGCATAAGATGTTGAAGATGAGTACTCAAGAGCAATGCCAGGTAAGTAATCAGGCAAGGGATTCCAGGCAGACTGGAAGCTTGATTCCAAGTGCTGACTGATTGCTCTATTTCTCCTTGTCTTACAGGTAAGAACAAGGCCAAAGGAAAAGACAGGGAAAAAGCATGATATGGGATACTCTTGCTTTTAACCCTGATGATATGAAATACTCTTGCTCTGGTGTGGCTTGTTTGCAGAGGTATTATCGGGAGGAAAAGAAGCTGAGTATTTTGAGAAACTTCGTTGGGAGTGCCCTCTCATTTATGACGAAGGGTTGAGCATTTTTGCAGGTCTGCTTGTCCGTGGAGGATGGAGGTCGACATATATAGGAGTCTCCCTAACAACAAGTAGTAATGCTATTCCTTTACCCTTCTTGGTCGTAGCAATGTAGTGGGAGCTGCAAGCTTCACGTGTTTTAACTTTGTCAGAGCACTTGGAAAAAGTGGTATGTAGTATCTGGAAGCTGATGTTGCGTGTGAAGATTGTATACAAGCTTTATCCAAGGAAATCTGGCTCTCGAAGTTCGAAGAGCGATGCCTTTTCAGTTTTCGAACAAGCAATCTTGTCGGGGATCTGGCTCTCGAGATTCGAAGAGCGGTGCCTTTTCGATTTTTGAGAAAGCAATCCTGTTGGGAGTCTGGCTCTTGAGATTCGGAGAGCGGTGCCTTTTCGATTTTTGAGAAAGTAATCCTATTGGGAGTCTGGCTCTCGAGATTCGGAGGGCGGTGCCTCTTCAATTTTTGAGCAAGTAATAATGCTATTCCTTTACCGTTCTTGGTCATAGCAATGTAGTGGGAGCTGCAAGCTTCACATGTTTAACTTTGTCAGAGCGCTTTGAAAATGTGGTCTGTGGTATCTGGAAAATTGATGTTGCGTGTGAAGATTGCAGACAAGCTTTATCCAAGGAAATCTGGCTCTCGAAGTTCGAAGAGCGGTGCCTCTTCGGTTTTCGAACAAGCAATCCTATCGGGGATCTGGCTCTCGAGATTCAGAGAACGGTGCCTCTTCAATTTTTGAGAAAGCAATCATGTTGGGAGTTTGACTCTCGAGATTCAAAAAGCAATGTTTCTTCGATTTTTTAGAAAGTAATCCCGTTAGGAGTCTGGCTCTCGAGATTCAGAGAGCAGTGTCTCTTCGATTTTTGAGAAAGTAATCTTGTTGGGAGTCTGGCTCTCGAGATTCGGAAAGTGGTTCCTCTTTGATTTTTGAGCAAACAATCTTGTTGGGAGTGTTTTCTCTAATGTGAGTAAAGGTTTGGCATTTTTGCAAGTCTGCCTTGCCACGGAGCACGGAGGTTGACACACATTGGGACTTTCTAGTTATCAAGCAGTGGTGCTGTTCCTTTACCCTTGTGGGTAATAGTAGGGTAGTTGGACCTTCAAAATTTTGTGTCTAAACTTTGTCAGAGATCTTTGGCAAAGTTATTTGTGGTACCCGATGAGCTGATGTTGCGTGTGGAAAGTGGTGCCTTTTCAAAATCCGGAGAGTGGTGCCTTTTAGATTTTTGAATGAACGGCCCTATTGCCCTTTCTTTTATAAGGGCACCAATTGTGTGCAAGGAGTACATTCAGAGAGTTATTGCTTGTAGGAATTTTCCCCTTACTTTAGAGATTTATTGC